TGTGTGTGTGTGTGTGTGTGTGTGTGTGGGAGTTAGTGCAGCATTGGATAACGACGATTTAACAATCAAACTTAACACTTAATAGAAATAAAAGGATGGAAGGATATAACAGTGACATGTTTGGTGAGAGCTGCCTTCTCTCATTATCGCCCAAATGCATGTGAATAAGAATTAAATTGTCCTATGGTATAAAGTTAAGAGTTAATTAGTTAATTATAAATTCGGGAGTTTCCCTTCGGGACTGGTTGGCCTCTACTAGGAAGTAGTATCACATGATTTCTTCTCGGAATTACATGATAAAGAATGATGATGTAATCTTCTGAGATATTACACTAAGTTGCTGAAAGTCTACATATATCTATATTACTCTATAGTGAATTGCTCATTATTGAGTAACTATAGCCTACATTTACATAAAAATGCTCCAATTTTTTTACTGTCTCTTTTTTCCGACTACTATATTTACTGCATTAATTACAATCGTCTTTTGGCGGACATCTAATCAAGTAGTTTACTTCGAGAATCCAGGCATCTCTTTAAACCATTGGCCCCCTAACTTTCGGGCCACCTTACTAGCTTTCGCTGCTATCGGTGCGGCTTGCTTTTTCGACTCTTTTTCGGCGTCTTTTTTCGAGGTCGAGATCGACCGTGACCTTCGGGGTTACGAATCGACTCTCTCAATATCTTTACATGAAGGCGTGTTCTTTATTTCCCTCGTAGTTATTTGTTGCAGTAATTCAATCAATGTTCTATGTGAAGAGTAATTTGTTAGGGCGTTAAATTTCGTCCACTCGCCTAGAAATAGATATTTCTGTGGCATTGCCTATTATTTTGTAGCTTAAAAGATTTTGAATTTTTGAAGAAAATAAATAAATATTTTTAAATTATAATATTCTGCAGGACAGGAAAAAGTATATTACAGTTAATTTGACGAATTTCTTTTTTTATAGTTTTGAATTTTCCTTTGACATTAGAATTACCATTAAGGCTACATAGCATGTGATACTTTGAAATTAATGTGCTAATTGCTTTGAAAAAAAAAATATTATTTAAATAATCCAAGAAAAGTTTAGAATTGCTAAAAAGGCTTGTTTCTTTAAAAATTATGCTGAATTCGTATACTGATGTTTATTTTGAATATTTACTTTAAAAATTTTTTTTTAAAAGTCTGGGATTATGCTCTATTTATATTTAATTTGCTAAATGTTTTAGCTGATGCAAATTGGTAAAGCTCAATCAATTACATTTTAGTGTAAATATTTTTTTTCGCTTAAAACTATAAAATGATGTTATTCGAACCATTTAAAAAGTTGCTACGAGGTTGCAATGCATGCAGTTAGACTGTTTTTAGATATTAGTTTATATTTAATTTCATTTTTGTCAACTTAAAATTCTAGAGGACAACTAAGCTCTATTTCTTTTCTTTTTGTCAAATGAAAAAAATGTTCGTTATTCTTTCACATATACAGAATATAATGCGCAACTCCTAATTTGTTTTGATTCAAAAATAATAATACACTATGTTGTATTTTAAATTCAGATATTTATTTTTTTTTTAAATTTCTAATTTATCTCAATATTTATGAAGTTCTATTTTCTCCCTCTTGTAAAAATGAAAATATTCTGGTTACATCGTCAAACAGAATGCAATAGGGAACTCCTAAATTCTTTTCATTTAGAAACAATGTACATTGTAATATTCCAAACTTTTTTAATTCTCTAAGCTTTCTAAATTACTTTATGATTGTTAAAAGAGGCAAATTTTGCAAAAGAATTTTTTCTCCGTCACTCATTTCTCCTGAAAGTGCCTTAAAAAGAACTATATTTTGAAACAAAAATTATTGTTTCTTTTATTATTCATTACATTTGATTACACTAACGAAAAATTTTTTTAAGTGTTTTCAACCATTTTGAACTACCTGATCTCCTAAAGCATAATCACAAACAGAAAAAGATATATATACATCAAAAAAGACGAAATATAATTTTTTCACCGAGCCTAAACAATAGAGAATAAAAGAGAAATTAATATGTAACTGCTTTCTTTTTGTTTAAAAAATAACAAGAAAAAAACTTCGCGACATTTTCTTACTTTTAGGGAAAAAAAAATACTTTTCCTAACAACTTTGTCAAATTAATAGAAAAATATGTATCTGCTACAAAAATACTTGCCATTCTAAACTATCTTTCAAATATAAAAAAGTTTAAATATTTTTCCTTAAACCAGTTATTTTGGAACAGATATTATTTTGTATCGTAACAGCTGCAACCTGCTATTTGAAAATACCTGTTATTGCTTATACTTACTTTACTTTATTTATAAAAAA